CAGTGACCTCTTCCTTAGACTCGATCCTCCAACCCCCCACAAGAATTGGTTACATATTCTTTTCAACATCTTTAGTATTCTTTGTGGCAGTAAGAAAAAGGTCATCCAGTATTGCACAATACTTGTAAAAACAGATGACACTAATTGCAATCTACCCGCATAACTAAGCTTCTTTGCTTGCCAAGTTCTTATCTTTTTGTTATCTTATCAAGAAGCACTAAACAGTCAGCAGAAGAGAGTTTACCTGAGATAAGTGGCACTCCAAGATAACGAACAGGCAGACTCCCCAAGGGAAACCTAGTAAAAGAGGAAATCCACTCCTTCTCATCTTCAGGGATACCACAACAAAATAATTGGCACTTAGCATGATTACAACGAAGACCATATTCCACATAGAAATGTGCAAGCAGCCTTGTATCCCAGTCACCCCTCTTATATATCCATTTGTAAACACTAAGAGATCATCTGCAAAGCACAGATGGGTGATCTCTAGTGCTTTACAGCGTGGATGATATGGTACTTGATTATCCATAGATGCTCTGTGAATTAGACATGAGAAATACTCCATTGCCACTGTGAACAGGTATGGAGATAAGGGATCTCCTTGCCTAAGCCCCTTCCCAGCAGAGAAATAACCACACAGTTCTCCATTAAAGGAGACACTGAGTTTTGGGTGGTAACTGGAGTCAATAAACTTGAACACCTTCTTCATCAAATCTCCTCTTAGCTGCTGCTGGAAATAGGTAACGGGAAGGAGTTTATCAACTTCCCTCAAAAGCTTTTTGTAAAACTTAACAGCCTCATCACCCATTTCCTTAACCTCAGTCACTTCTGTATTATCATCTCTAATCAGCTTCGTAATAGTCTGCTTATGGTTCCTTATTTTCACCATGACATGGAAATAAGCTGTGTTTGCATCACCCTCCTGTATCTTTCTAATTTGGATTTTTGCCTGCAGAAACTCTCTTCTGCCAACTGCAAATTACGACAAAAGTCAGCCAGGTTCAAGCTCCTTTCGCGCATTCTCTTCAGTAGGATCTTGGAAAACTATCTGTTGTTGCTGTTCAAGTGCACATTTTGCTGCTCTTGTCCTCTCAGATATATCAGAATACTCCGACCGATTTAACTTCTTTAGCTTGGTCTTTCATACCTTTAGCTTACTGTATAATTGCTTATAATATAACCCTCTAACTGATTCACCCCAAGCTTCTTCTAGCAGCACTTGGTATTGAGGATGCTTCTGCCAGTACTTGAAATACTTGAAGGGTTTGGGAAGTGAGCCTAGAAAAGGAGTAGAATCCAACACCAGACCACAATGATCTGAGACCCCCGGAGCCAAAGTTCTTACAACACTCTGAGGAAAGAAAAGAAACAAGTCTTCATTCACAAGGAACCGATCTAGTTTCTTTGCTATGGGGTTTGCTGATTGCTTGTTCCACCATGTAAACTGCGAGCCAAGGATCTTATGATCAATCAAACACATATCCGAAACCCCGTCCCGGAAGTCCAATCCCCCCTGAGTCATAACCGTAGTATTAGAACCCTCCTTTATATCCATAATAGCGTTAAAATCACCCATAAAGACACCTGGTTCACCGTAACCTTCCAGGGCAGTAACTCCGAGTACATTTCCAATCTTTCCTTTGCTTTGTTAGGGCTATAGATAGCAGTAACATTACATCTTGACAACCCTTCAACCCCGACCTGAATGAAGTGCTCTCCCATTTTAACTAGCTGAACTTGCAAACTGGGCTTCCAAAAAAGCAAAACCCTCCCTGAAGCTGAATGTGCATAGTTATCCAAATGTTTCCACGCACTAAAATGACGCTGTATAATATATGTTGCATTCTTTTCTAATACTCTAGTTTCTAAAATTGCTGCAAAATCGATATTCAACTTTATTAACTATTTACTAATGTACCTATGCTTCTCAGGGGCATTAAACCCCGAGATTCCAACTAAGGAACTTCATTGTGCTTCTTACCCCTCCCCCTCTTAGGAGGACCCCTGATAACCAAAGCTTGACCTTGAGCAGCAGAAGGAAAGGCCCTAAGAGCAGTATCATATGCAATTCCTTTGCCCCTTCCTTGTGACCAATTGAAAACCATCTTCATCAATCAGCTTACCAGAGAGGGAATGAAGAGGAGTAGATGTCCCTGCTGAACTTAGGCCTGCCACTGGAGCTGGGCCGTCATCCATTGAAGAGCCAGCTACTGGAACTGGACTTGAGCCAGAGACTGTACTTGAGCCAGAGACTGGACTTCCTTTCACTGGACCTCCTACATTTGAACCAGAGACAGGAACTGGACTACCTTCCATTGAGCCAGCTACTAGAACTGGACCACCTTCAGTTGGCAGAGCAGCCATTGCACTTCCTCCACTGACTGAGCCAGCTACTAGAGTTGAGCCTCCTTCATTAGACTTTCCTGTCAAGCTTGCCCTGGTTTTAGATACCCAAGTTACTTCATCAGTCATATCCTCCGCCCTGATTAACTCACTACCTTGATAGCCTGCACTTCTTTGCTCTCCTTACCCTCCCTCTCACAATGCCCAAACTCCTTGCACTGCTTGCACATCATAGGAGCATGAAGATAACGAACTCCCATATACAACAGCCCCTCCCCTTCTGGTGTAACACTTATTTTGTCCGGGAATCAAAATCAGCAGAAATCTCTACACAAACTCTTGCCATACCAGCTTGGGCACCTAGCCTTGTTGCTTGATCCATCCAGAGTGGTTTACCCAGAAGGCCAGTGATCCTACTCAAAACCCTCCACCGTACTGTATTCAAGTGGCAACGCACTGAGTCGAACCCAAATAGCAAGCAACTTCAGACTCATGTTAACTGTTTGGATTCCCGGAACCCAGCGTCGAAGTAAGAGGGTGTTATTATTATAGTGCCATGGCCCGTTCTCAAACACCCAGGTGCTTGCATCTGGATCTGAAAATTGGAAGAGAAACATACGATCCCCAAAGTGAGAGACTGTTACCCTACCGTCTCGCCCCCAGAATTGCCTCGCCCATCGTCTTAGTTGATCAATCTCTAGCGCCGTCGAAAGAAATTCCCTACCAGAGCGTGCCGCCAACGAACAACACCTTCCTCTCGCACCACTCGTGGGATGACTAAGGATCCATTTACTATATCTGGGGCAACATACTGCAAGCAATTGGGCTCTCCGACGCCAAACAGTTGCCGCCAATTTGCCGGAGCGCCCTGCTCGGTGGCCATCGGCCGTAATCGCGAAACTCTCTTCTCAACCCTACCTTCAGAGAAAAAAACAAAAAAACTTTTTTTCCCCTCTGTCCTTTGGTCTCGGAGAGGAATATTGTCTTAAATAAAAACTAGTTTTTACTCTGTTTATCTTATTTGTTATTACTGCTAATCAATTCATTCATATTTTAATTTATTTTTAGTATTTTCAATAGTTTATTAAAGAGTCGGAAATAATCTTTGAATTACTTGATAATTGTGATATTGGAATAATTAGTTTAAATGTATTTTTATTGATCGGGTTATCCTAAGTTACTACGGTCTATATATAACTCATATTAAAAAATTTGCACTACTTATTGTTAACATAAATTTATTAAAAGTATTTCTTCATACCGACATTATTAACTTGTTTCTCGATTAAATTCAAACAAACTAAGATAATATGCATTGAATAGTAATTAAAAACTTCAAAGAATTAGCCTATTGCTAATATGGAAGCATACTATTTATCATTTAATGGGTTCAAACTTTATGGCCAACAATCATCTAAAAAGATAATAATTAATAATACATGAATTATTAAGTACTAATTCAATAAATAGTAATATATATATGACGACTACTTCGGTGAACTAGCAAAAATGACTGCGTTCAATGCACCCAACTCAAAAACTAGTCTTAAGGTGTCGAATTTTGAATTTTAATTTGTAGGAATAGTGTAATATGATGATATAACATATGATAACAACTAATTAGCGGATTACCCTAAGCCCTAGACCTCCAATTTTGAGTTCTATCCCTAAACCCCAAATTATAAATCCTAACTCAAACCCTAAATCTCTAAACTCTAAATCCTTCAAATTAAAGTAGATCTTTAATGGTTTTTGTGCAAATTCATGTGCGTTAGTGTTCATCACATCATAAGTCATGATTGACATCATTTTGACATAAATTGCATGTGTTTCAAATGACGGTTATGAAACAAGTGCACTGAATGCACCCAAAAAAGTGAGTGCACTGAAGACGCCACCATATATATATATATATATGGGGAGTTCCTATGGTACCCCGGGTGAAATCCGGGGTACCGCATACCTTGAGTAAGAAAACGCTATCTAGAACTTGAATTGACTAATCTTTCGGACATGATACTATACTCTAACCCTTAAAGATCAACATCTAGGTCTTAATTCTCTAAATCTTATACCCGAAGATCAATTTAATTAGAAACAGAATCGACGGTTATGATTCGTCCGAATACAGGTAAAAAAATCAATGCACCATCTTAGGGTTTATAGTTTATGATTTAGATAATTAGGACCTAGGGTTCACTCATTAAGGGCTAGGGTATAGTATCATGCCCAAAAATCTTGGTAATTCGAGGTCTAGATAGCGTTTTTATACTCAAGATATGCGGTACCCCGGATTTCACCCGGGGTACCGTAGAAGGCACCATATATATATATATATATGCGTTAGACTCGTATGCTCCTGACGCATAGTATGCTCCAGATTCTCAGTACCGTTGATCTAATCTAACGGTGTTTGTTAAATCTATTTTAATTATTTATTATTTACAATTTTAAAATAATTAGTCGATACCAATACATTTTTGTACGTGCTCTTTAGTCCCTACACAAAATTTTCATATATTTTTGTATTAACGTACCTAATTTTCTTCTAATAATAACTTGAACACAAATTTTCTGATTGTATCTCCATCAAGTTACGTTTAATTTCTACTAAAGTTTGTAGATCTATCCCCAGAGCAATTTTGTCGTTTCAACACCAAATCCCCCTTTCCCATTTTCCCTTTATCGTGAGTGACGAACCCTATCTTCTCATCCATAACTATCGAATCAGTTCTCCTCCCAAGCCCTCTCCAATTGCTAAATTTTTTGTGCTTCCCGTCGCTATCTACGGATTAAGGAAGTGATCGATTAGTATGGTTCTGTTCGAGGATTGAGGGATTGAATCGCGGGCTCGAGAGGTGGACGAGGAAGGACTGATCAGAAAATAAATTTTACGGTCTGAACGTTTCCAGACGAAACCACAGACTCGATAGCTAGGGGAAGGGCTGAATGGCGAAGAAACTCCATACTTGAAATGTCTTAAACAAAATCGATGGAGATAGCGGTGGAGAGGCGACGTCGAACAGTTGGAAGGGGAATTGGAAATAGCAGATGGAGAAGCTAAATCGGTAACCGCCTGTGTCTCCATCGATGATATTTTCGTTTGTTGTTTTCACAAGCTTCGTGACTATCATTTTGCAGTCCGCCAACTGCAATCCTGTCTAAGTTGTGCTTATGATAACCGACGGAATTGCTTCTCTAATTTTCACTAGTACTGCAGAAGTGGAAAGGTGGGGAAAAGCTTGATCGAGCTTGGATGTGACTGGAAGACCGAGATGCAGGCGGCGGGAACCGGTGTTGTCAACACATTGTCTGGTATGGATTTATATTCTTGAATCTATATTTAAAATTAAACACAAGTAGTAATTTCTCTGTTTCTTCTTCTATTTTGGGCTTTCATTGCTCTAATTATTGTTCGTTATTTGATTGTGGTGGTGAGAAAGATTGGAGAAGGATTTCTTGGATTCAGGTTTCGTGGTGGTGGATCACGTTCGATTTGGCCGAATTTGATATGGGTGGGTGCTTTCCTTGTGTCGGACCATCGAACAAGAACGGCAGCAGAAACATCCACGACGAAGCTGGAAGTGGATGCAAAGAAGCTGCGAAGAAAGATTTAGCTTCAGTTTCGGACCATCAATTAATAACCTCACTAGGAATTAAATGCCTCGGGTGTAACTTCTCTATATCATACTTCAGTGAAGTTCGATTAACAAATGGCAACAAGCTCTGAGTTGTTTCTTGTGGATCCTTTTTTGTTTGCAGGTTGAGAATCTAGAGGGGAAAAGGTGGGGTTGTTCCTAGGCATTGAGCAAAGGAGCGAGATGCTCTTTACTGGAAGAAGGAGCTTAAATAGTCTGAGGGGGACCTCTATAGGCTTAAGTAGCAGATTCTTTGAGCTATAAAATCTCAAATCATAGCTCGATGCTGCTTCTGCTTTGGTGGTTGAGCTGAAGGCTTAATTGGCAGCTTACATTACATGGAGTCAAAAGTTAATTGGCAGCTTACATTCACTATACACCAGAGGGACCATTCTTTCAAGAGTCGACAACCATTCACTATCAACCATTAAAAAAGAAACACTGGCAAGGGACCATTGTCACCAGCAACATCCCAAAACAAATCCCCAAAAACCAATAATAGCATACAAAGAGAATTCATTGCCCCTTGCACCCCGTAAAAGATCACAACAACTAGCTCTCAGGCTCTCAGTTCTTGGCTCTACACATAGACAGAAGTAGCCTGTCGCTAGACTCAATTCATTTGCTGCCATCCACCTCTCTACTAATTAAGCCTGGTTCCAGTCTTTGTGACAGAAGCAACCTTCTCTTTAGTAAAGCAAGCCATCCTTCAGCAACTTCCCGCTCTACTTTCATTGTACTAATTAGCCAACTTGTTAGTTGACAGCCAATTATATAGCAAACAACCTGCGGCATGGCTGAAACCTCCTCAAAGATTCTAGCGTTTCTCTCCTTCCACAAACTCCAGCAGAGTGCATGTAGTAATTTTTTGTACACCACTCACTTGGATTCTTCGGTTTTTGCTGAGACCATTCTGCATTTGCTATTGATATACCACTCTAAACTTACTAATGAGTTCCCACAACTTCGCAAAGCTAAATCTGATAAAGATATGATCAATGTCTTTCTCGGCTGTCAAACACAAAACACATCTACTCGGTAGCTCCCATCCATACCTCTTCAATGCATCCGACGCTAAGATCCTTTTTTGGTATACAGTCCACATGAACGAGCAAACCTTGGGAATTTGCTGCTACCATGTTGTTTTGAAAGGGAAGCCTGCCATCCCGGAAACTTGTCCTGACTGAGAAACCAGCAGTCAGAGAGGGATGCCAAGATCTCTGTAATAATATAGGAGAACAAAGGCACAATTAGAGAAGAGGGAAACCAGGACAACATTCACTAGTTCTAGAAAGTAAGATAAATACTCACATTCGGGATATTATAAGGTCGGTATCATTTATGTCTGGCCAGCATGTTAACCTTCCCAAGCATCCCATTTCGTAGCAGCACAAGGATCTCTAATCTAACCCATCCTATCAAGAACTATGAGAGAGCCTTGCAGCTGATGCAATAAAAAAGAACAGGAAACATGAACCTCAATCAACATTCCTATTCTGACTTCTGAGTACATGAATAGATCAACCTCTGGGGTCAAAATATGCGCGAGGCTGCAACAATAAGGAAATGGTTCAATTCAGTCTTGGATTTTTAAGGAAAGGGAAAAAGAAAATGAAAAGCATGGGAGAACCAGCTAACGAACCCATTATAAGAAGTCAGAACAATGGGTGAAATACTTAACAACATGTATTGGTGCTCAACATCTCACTTAATGAGTTAGTGTGAAATTCTGAAACCGAGCATCACTAAAAGTCTAGTCTACAAAAAATCCTCATTACAACAACCACAGAAGAATCTGGATCCATTCAGCTTCCGTGGTGTAATCAATCTTCTAAAAAAATTTAGTCCCATCTACTGTTAGCAATTCTATAGATAATGGTTAGGTTGGGATGAGAAACCCGTAATTGCTATAAAGACGCATTTCTCTCTTTGCCAACTATCCTAATATCTACTGCATGTATTATAACTGCTTTTGATCACAATGCACCACACCTTGTAGATGACAGAAAGATACAACATTCAATATCTGCACAATTACCGCCTTTGCATCATCTTCTGGGTATTTTCAACCTCAAAAGAACAACAAGTACCGTCCCTGAGCTCCCCCAGTACAAAAAAGAGACTAGACCTAAAATAGCTAATCTACAAAGATACATCCTAAAATATCAAGTATAACTAGAACATGGAGAGAAATCAAACCTTGTAAGTATTCTATCCTAGAGCTCACCCCCTACGCATAACCTGAATTGTTAATAGCAACTTATCAGCTTGCAGAAGGCCACATGATTTCACAAAGGTGATAATAAAGCGGTTCAAAATCTTAATTAGTAAGCAACCAATTCATAGGCCCCAATCAACCAGATTATGATTCATTCATGTCAAATTTAATAAAAATGGTCATTAGTAAGCAACTGTAGTAAGGGACAAGTGCATAATTTCTCTTCTTAGCCATAAGAGAAAATGCATACATTGTAGCACATAATCTGTAATGAATAGTTCAGTTGCTGACAAGCATTAGACTCAACACGGCTAGATCCGTAGTTAAAAAGGCAACCCATTTGTGGTCTACAAGTCAGCAAAAATCACCTTGGGTGGCAGTACGACCAAACACCTGGTTAAACTGAAAATGCCTCCTCGCCATCTCCTCAACCGGAATGCCTACAAAACATATATGAATCAATGAACACTGTCAGGGAGAAACACTGATATTTTACATAATCAGAATACCCAGGCTGATGCAAGCAGAATTCTTTGTAGAGGAGTTTCATGCTATAAAACTCTAAACAAGATAGATTCTAAGTAGAACAACATCTGCTACAAATTGTGTGAGATCACTCTACAACTGGGAATGCAAGCCTTCGAACTCCTTTCTTGCCATTGCCCATAATGTCAGCAGATCCTGTAGAGTATATACAAATTCTGAATTCAGGAACAGTCTTGAAAAAGATTGGAACTTTAATTGCCTGCCTTCTAATTACATAATGTCTGCAGATCATGTACAGTGCAATTACATAATGACTCGTTGCATATTTTCTAGATCGGGTTTAATTTCCTATTGTCTGGATTGACTAACCTTGCCACAACCTCTTCTTTAAAGGAGGTGAGAAATTTGCACCCATGTTTTCCTTCATCAGCCATATACTCCACAATTCACCCTCTATTAATACCCTGCAAGAGGTCAAAAAAGCAGAAGGTTAAGTTCAACCAACTATGACATTTCTTCCACCAAGTTATATTAATCCAACCCTAGTGCTCAGACAACTAACGAATCTGCACTATCAAGCATATGGTGAAATGGAAATCTGAAATATACCCATTTTCAGAAACCAATTCATAAGCCCCAAATCGACCAGATTTCCAACTAACACGAGCATCTCTCCAAACACTGAAGAAACCTCTCATAGAAATAACAGAATAATGAATCATAAATGGATTAGAAGGAAGTTCTTACAACTCACCCTCCTGTTCGAACAACTTTAGCCTCCATCCCATACCATGGCCATCACTTTGAGGAACCTGTAAACTGCTAATTTGTCAGTGATACTCTTAACAACACATTAACACGGAAATATGACATCACCTTTCAGTAGGAGCAGAAAACTAAAATTAGTTGCTTTTCTAAAAGCCCATCATCAAATTCCAATAGCGTTTGAGAAGTGTCGAAACCTCATATCTACGCAACAATCATAGAATTAGCACTCTCATTCGGCACGTCTCGATGGAATACCAATCATCTACCACATATCTACGCAACAATCTATTCTAGTTAGCAATACATTTGATTCAGCTTTCTAATTTGAGAAATATTATCAACCTAATGTAAGGAAAAAGCAACTGAGAAATCAAGGCCACAAAAAGATCAAATAAACAACTTGCTTTCAGATCAAAGTCCATGTCAATATTTCTTAGCGTTCCCTTCACCTCTGTAAGATTCTCCTATGCGGCTTGCGCTGCTTTCTTAGCCAACTTCTCCTGCAGAGCCTTGGCGTCCCTGCGCACAGAAAGCACAACTCAAAATTCAAAATCGCTACCTTTCCCTTCACATCCTGCTCAAAAGACAACTAATTGCTAATTATAAGAAATTCTACTCTTTGCATTTCAAACAGAAAGTTGATTTTAACAAAACAAAACAATCCACATATAAGGTATAACTCAACGAAAGACACCATTCTTTCAACCAATTCTAATCAATCAAACCCCACTACTCAGAGAACTCTCCGAAGCACGATCAAACATATCGTGGAGCATAATCAATTAAGTTTTTTAACCCATAAATCTGAACGGGGGAAGGAGGAGCAATATCCAACTTTGAATAACTCGGTTGTGTCTTCCAGAGGGACCACCTTCGCCGAGCTGGGCCTCGAAGACCTGGTGTATTTGTTTAGGAAAAGTGGGTTGATTGGAAACTGAAACGAGGGGGTGAGGACTGCTTGCAAGACTGTGGGTTGGAGCACTCGAGGGTTAGAACAAATGAGATAATGGGCGGCTTCTCATGATAGGAAGAGGCCAAAATTTTGGCGGATAGAACAAAATGGTTTTGTGAAAATGGAAAAGTGAAATTAAAAAATATTCAATTTTGTCTCCTTCCCGCTTGGAACGAAAATGTGGAGGGAATCTTAAATGTAATTACTAATTACTTCTTTCCAATTTCACCCCAACTAAAAATTAGGGTTGATGGACTGGTGGTTTAGGTTTAGTCGGTTTAATCATCCAATTCATATACTTTGATTTTTAAAATACTAAATTCAAAATACTCAACAATATTAGCATCTTACGATTTGTTTGTGATCATGTTGGATAAGGTAAATACATTTGAGAAACATTTACCGAACAAAGTTGAAGATGTTATTCCTTATAAGCTACACAAAATGCTAATATGATATCCTATACAATATGTTTGGTGTATGAAACTCAGTACAATAATTGTAACATGGGTTGGGTCATGAATCTACGGGTTGCTATCATACAGGTTGAACTTAAGACATCCGAACTTAGGACATATAGGTTGAAGACTAGCGGTTTAGACACTACTAAGGTTGAAGCCAAACAAGGTACCTCAATGCCCATACTCACTCCGAATTAAGTGCGGGTCATGCCGGATTATACTCGCGCGGGACAGTTCGACCTACTCTTATATGTTATCTGGAAAAATAAGGTCGATATTGAAATCTTTTACATAACATAGAGAAAATACTTTATAAATGAATTATAAATATAGTAAAATGAATACTTGAGTCTAAATAATTAAAAGATAGAGTCGTAAAATTTATTTGGAACAAAAATAATTTTAGAGAGGTCAAAAGATGAGAAATATGTGTGGATCCCAAGGTTGTCAACCCACGGGTTGACCCACTTGTGCCACAGGATATCGGGTTAAAGGTCAAATTGTGCTATTTTTTCTTTGGTTTGCGAAATGCGCCTATTTTCTTATTTTTCTTTTCGCTTAACTCAATATTTGGAATCCTTAGTTGAACATTTGAATATTGATATTATATAAGTGTGTGTGAATTTTCACTATATGTTGGATCTAAGTACGATATGTTACTTTGGTGTAATGTTATATGTTATTACTCATATGTTAGATGAGATTTGATATAATTTATCAGGATAAGTACAATATAATGACTCTTTTCATATTTTCGGGGTAAAACGGATGACCCGTTAACCCTTCATCCACTAGCTCGACCAGGTTCGGTTCAACCCGCAGGTTGACAACCTTGGTAGATACTAAGAAATAGTTTCGTGTGCACCCCACCACATGATGA